TGTAAGTTTCATTAACTCTATAGTGGTTGAACCAATAATTTATCTTGGGCAAACCCATATACAGGAACTCACATGTTCATGATATCCTTGCAGTTGTCTGTATAAGAACGAATGATAACCTTACTCGCAACTGTGGATCGAAATTCGTGCTGATATTTACTGCCATGTCTAGGAGTTACTCTACTAACTGATTTGATTGTCACTATCAATGGTAACTTTGATTCTATTGCTGGAGCATGCTTTTGGAAATCATCAATGTCATGGCCACTGTATTCAACATAAGCCTTTGCTCCACTGATTGCAAAGCAATGCGTTAAGTATACATTCTTACAAAGCCAAAAAAAGTGTACAGTCTTAAGAGCATACCAGACATCTTGTATGACCAGGTCAAATTTCTGAATTATTCCTTTAATTTTTTCTGGATGAGTTAGTCTTTTAACACATCCTGTAACATCTGCAGATTTAATGTTTGTTATGCTTTGTTCAATGGTGTTGTTAATCATGGAAAGAGTGACATATATTTACCTGAATGGCAGACAAAGTCTTCTGATGTTTGATGCACAATGGAAAAATCGGCTGCTGTGTATGATCCTGATGGAAACTGCTGGGGTCCAGTTCCTTCTTCAATGTGCCTTCTAATTTGATTTGAAGTGAGGAGCACGCGTAACTCTCGATGGACAACGCGTTGCACTGATCTTGCTGGACCTGCTACAATATCTTGTAGTTCATGCAGACAGCCAACCTTGATTTTCTTAAAAACCTCATCTGCCTCTTCTTCTTCAACCTGAGCTTCGATCAACTTGTTCTGTATAGTCAATGGTAGATAGATATGTTGTCAAGAGTTTTTGATGTTTTAGTATTCGGTAGTAGGTTAATTGATGTTTAGGGTTTGTATATTGGTAATTTCTTTTGTCTTGACACTGAATCAAATGCTCTGACGAATATTTATGAATATAGTTGGGGTATCTGGATCCAAACCTTTTTATCAAGCCAGAGCATGTGATATGTCCTTTTCTTCCATGTGGATAAAGGCACTTCTCGGAACTCAGACCATGTAACGACATGTCTAGCTATAACGGTTCGATTGTTTGTTCCCAAACGCAGTCCCCGAAAACACATGGTTTTCATCAATGGAATCTGCAACGCGAATAAAGACGAATCGATAAATAATAAATGGAAAAAACTCGCATAGGAATCAAGATGCGTTTTTAGGATCTCTTTCCAAATTCAATGTTATTTACCTTTCAGTTCGCTGGGGACCACAGAATCGCGATCTGTAGTTTGATGCTTATTCCTGATTCCATTTTGTGTGGGTCCAAGGAATTTCACGTATCAGTCGTACTATACAACTGTAAATCTGTTGAGTAGAAGAAAGCTTCCAGTTCTTCGAGACTCTGGTTTCCCGTGTTTTTTGTATCTTGACTGCGCGGCCGATTCTAGAAGGCATAAAAAACATACCGGTAGTTTATCTAAGCTAGGGTTAACTTAGGGTAATTCCTTTTTGGATCTGTTGTTTGGGCCTTGACATCGTGTTTGGGCTCTGTTTGATATGCAATTGGGTCTAACTGTTGAATCAGGCCTTTTTTACAAAAAAAACTTACAATACGCTCCTGCTTTGATTGTTCTGTCAAGTTGTATTAGTTGGGCTCACCGAATTTTCTTTCTAACTTCTCTCTGGAAAGTCCGAACCGATATTAACTGACTAAAACTTATAACTGCTTTCCAGCTTTGAGTTTCGAAATAAAAAACACAAAACGTGTCTCTTGTTAAGAACAACCCAAGAACTGGAAGAACAATTTTTTCCAGGCGTAAAATTCAAAAAGTTGGGAGAGTTCATAATAACCACTTCGAGCTTCTTCGATGCTTGCAGAATTAAGCTGGTGCAATATCTGTGAAGGCCTCTGAATATACAATGTTTCTTGTGTAATTGGCTGGAATGTCCTCTTCATTTTCAATCAAGAATCTCAGACCACCTGCAGATCTTACTCTTGATGGTGCCACATAAAGCTGTCCATGACTGAATACTGGTTTAGGCAAATAGACTCCAACCTTGTCCAGCGTCTGGGCTTGGCTCTTATTTATTGTCATGCCATAACATAAACGTACTGGGAATTTCCTCCTCTTCAGTATAAAGGGCCAGCGTTTGTCTTCTACGTTGAGTACTATTCGTGGTATAACAACCTCTTTGGTGTGAAAAGATCCTCCAATGATGTTTCCTACAATGATATTTTCCCCCAATTTTGTAATCAATATCCTTGTACCGTTGCATAGGCCGTTTGGTGGGCTCAAATTTCTCAGCAACATGATTGGAGCGTGAACCTTAAGTCTTATTTCATGATCTGGAACACCATTGAACTGAAGAGCATTCAAAAATTCTGTTGGGTAAGTTTCAGCGAATAGCTGAGGTACCTTTGTATCTAGTTGCATAGAGTCTGAACTGTAGTAGCAACGGCAATGTCCAGGAATTTTTTGAACATGAAGTCATTCACTTCAGTCACAACTGCATTAGTGGGAGTAACGATCGCCCTTCCACTTAGGTAATCTGTACTCATGTGTTGTTCCTCAAATGCGTCATATATGTCATTTGTGATTGACTCGATTGGATTTTTTCCAGCATATATCAAAAGTATTTGTGGTATCTCAATCCAATCTGAAGGTGTGTTTGCCATAAAAGATTTTGTTGGCAGCCTTCCATCTCCCAGCGCCAGAATCCACTCACCAAAGTTCAGTCCACAGCCGACCAGGTTTCTATTATCTTGTGAATCATCAAGCCTCATGTTCCTTGACAGTTTGAGCACCTGAAAAAAGGGCCACAACGATGACCTCGTGATGGATCCATCAACTGTTTGTTCTCTTCCTGAATCTGAAATTACCCGCAGAGTCTGTCTAAAATCACCACCAAAGACTACTGTTTTTCCTCCAAACAACTTGTGTTTTGGACCTGGTAGTGGTATGTCCATCAAATCACAAAACGTCCTGCTTATAGCCTCAAATGCATTTCGATGTGTCATCGGTGCTTCGTCCCAAATAATCAATGAAGCTGCACGTATTAGTTCAGCTAAATGAGTACCTTTCTTTATGGAACATGTAGATGTATTGTCTATATGAAGGGGAATCTTGAACCTTGAATGAGCAGTTGTGCCGTTTGGTAGTAGTGTGGCTGCTATTCCAGATGAGGCAACAACTATAGCAATTTTGGAGAGACTTTTTAATTTTGCTATGATTGCATTGTGGAGAAAAGTCTTGCCTGTTCCTCCATGGCCATATAGGAAAAATGAACTGTCAAGGTTGTTGTTGATAGAGAGAATAATGAGTGTGAAAGCCTCTAGCTGTTTTGTGTTCAGTTTGCTAACCATAGTGCTTGCCAGTAACCTTTGTTGATCATCATCAAAGTTAAGATGCTCATTAATCAGGGGATTTGATCCATCGTCAGGTTCTGAATCTGTCGGTCTTGGCAGATGTAATTGCTGAAGTGAAGAACCATAAGTTCTCAGTAAAGTTTCCAGTTGATGTAGCACCCAATTCTTAAGTCTCTCATCTGTAGGCTGGAAAGTTTTTGAGTGTAGCTATTTACGAAGAGAATAAACATGATCTTCACTCATTAACCTCCATGAAGATTCAAATAGAGCATTAGGATCAGGTATTTCGCAGAACATCAGCATTGAAACAAATGTAGTCCGTATTATGTGTGGCATACTCGATGCTGCAATTTCTTGTAATACCTGAATCCATTCTGAAGAGTCCGATAGAAGGCCCAACTTTTGGCATGCTCTTTCGTAAGTACTACAAATCTCCCCTTGTATTGTTCTTAAATTGAGGAAGCTTGTTGCTCCTCTTACTTTGGTCAATAGCAGCCTAAGAAAGAATACATCATCACTTCCTGGAGGAACAAATGCACTTGTTGTCATAAAATGCTAAAAGACATGTCAATTTAAGAAGTAGACCAGGCCCAAACCCTGACCTATTAGACAGTGAGGACATCACTGAATGCCTCTTCAAAACACAATGTTTCTTGTATAGTTGTTTGGAAGTTCTGCTGGATTTTCTATTACCATTCGCAAACCTGTTGCTGATCGTACCCTTGAAACTCCCACGTAGACCTGTCCATGGCTAAATACTGGTTCTGGCAAATAGATTCCGACTTTGTCAAGCGTCTGTCCTTGGCTCTTATTTATTGTCATTGCATAACATGTGCGAATTGGGAACTGACGTCTTTTGAGTATAAACGGCCACCTGGAGTTCTCAACATTGAGAACAATTCTTGGGATTATGACTTCGTCGGTGTCATAAGAACCTCCCATGATGTTGCCCTTCATGAAATTGTCACCCAACATTGTGATCATAATCCTTGTACCATTGCCAAGACACAAAGCTGGGTTCAAGTTTCGCAGCAGCATAGCTGGAGTGTTTTTCTTCAATGTAAGTTCATGGTTTGGCACTCCACTGAATGTAAGTGTGTTGAGAAACTCAGTTGGGTAGCATTCATCGAATGTAGATGATGTGTCTGTGGATTGCAGCAATGAATCAGAACTATAATACGTCTTTGAATCACCAGGAACCCTTTGCATCATATAATCATTAATCTGAGATACGGTTGCATTCCCTGGCGCAACTATTGTCCTGTTTTTTAGTAATGCTGGGCGCATATAATTGGTATCAAATGGTTCATATATATCATCTGCAACTGCTTCAATGTGATTTCCCTCAAGTTGTATAAGAAGCAACTCAGGTATTTGTATCCAAACAAAACAAAACATTCACCTCTCTGAACTATTGAGGTACAAACATCAGGGACTTCCATATGGACTGAACAGAATAACCAGCGGCCAGTCAATGGTCGAAGTGAGTACATCAGTGAATTTCCAAAAAACCAGAGTAGTTAGGGAAAAACAATAAGTTTTTTTTTACAGAAAACAGAGCAACATGTCCTAAATAGATAACATACATAATTATAATTAAGCCGTCCCGACAAACTAAGTTCCAAGTAGAACAGTTTTCAATCACACGAAAGCTTTCGGGTTCCAGATTGAAGCTATTCGGATTGTAGGAGGATTTCCTGAAGTCCCGGGAGCAACATAAGCTTCAGCCATAAAAGACACATAACACCTGTCTTGAATGCACTGATATCCTTCTTCATAGGTTAGATTGAAAAGTTCTTCAGGTGAAACCCAAACCAAGCCCAGCACAGCCTCATGATCAAACACAACATCAACATATTCTCCCTCACACTCACATGTTGCTTGTAATTCATATCGCACCCTGAATTAAACAATAAAAGGAACGTTTTGATTTTACTGAAATGCAATGGACAACAGATTATTAGCAAAACATAAAATTGAATCATACCTTGGAAAACCTGAACAGGATTTAAAGACTTCTGGACCGTATGCAAATCTTGTCATTTCCAGCATACAACGATAGAGAGCCTGAAGGAAGGAATTTGTGTTATAATAGGTAAAAGATATGACTATATATTTGGGATATGTGTTATCCAATACAATCAAAACAACAAATATGATACATATACCTGGTAGGTCTGTGCATGGAACATTATATCATCCTTTAGCTGCCTTAGTGTTCTTTTGGGAGGAAGAAGACCACGGAGATAACCAATAGAGCAGCGAGAAGTGCTATTGATGTAAGTCACTGGCATTCGATCACCTATGAACCTAAAAAGCAAAAAGAATGTTCATATTGTTTTTCTAGCATCCAACAGAGCAGGGCTGTCAATATATAAACATAGAATTCGAATATAATAATACCTATTTATGATTTTCTCATAATGGTGATTGTAAGAAGCAATGATCAGACGACTTCCAGGTGAAGATTGAAATACATATGCATCTCCAGTTCCATCTGTAATTGGCAACCTTGTAACAGCAGTAATTGTGGTAATGAGAGGAAGCCGAACTTCAGATTCCCCTGCAAACTCCAAATACTTTGTAACCTCAGTTCCAGAGTAGTACACTGTCGCCTTGTCGCCTCTACACAAATAGCAAAAGATCAGTTAATCCCACATAAAGTCTAACAAACAAAAGTCAGCACAAGAATACGCAAGAAACCTGCTGTTTTCTATGATGAGCTCAAACCTAAGAACACCATTACTTGAAATTTCTGGAATTGTTAGATGAACAACACAACCCGTAACATCTGCAATTAAATTCATAGTCAGCAAATAATCATGAATACTTTTTTGTGAAAACAACTTTCGAGGAAGATACCTCCATAATTCACAACTGCTTCTGCCTCTATTGGAACAGCTGAGAACGAAGTTTTCAGAAAAGCATTGACAGGAAACTTTGGATAACCCGGATTGTCAGGGACACAAAATATGATCTGTTCACGCCTTATGGCAAAGCGAACTTCGGCGGGAACAACACGCCTGTTTTCCCTTGCAGGAATAACATGAAAGCCATCCAGAACATGTAAATCTCCTACTTTAAACTTATGTTGCATTTCTTGAATGTCATCTTCCTCAATACAGGCCTCTAGCATATGTTCCTGTTAAATATGATCTAGTGCATTACTACAATAAAATCAAAATAAACAATAAATATTACATCATATAGACGAATGACAGACCTCTTTGTCAAGACATAGCACATGCATTGTTCTTTTATGCCCCTGAGAGTCATCACCATACTCAATCCATATATTAAGAACTCGGACGATCATAATATCAATATAAGCACCAACGCGTAGACCACGAAACACCTTGCATGTGGAAATTGGGTCTGTGGTAAACGAAAGACAATGAAAAACCCCAAAACTTCACACCTCGGCAGGGTTCATTCATAAACCAACAAACAGAAACTTGAAACAGAAAGCAACAGAGTCGATACCTCGTGGGAGACTTGGAAGTTTGAAATCACGCGGCATTATACAACGATGCCTGATATGGAAAGACAATAGAAGATCAAAAATTTGTTAAAGTGTCAAGAAGTAGAAACAGAATGCAAAAGGGAAAAGTATCGGCGATCATACCCCATGAATACACGACTATCTCTGATCTTGAAGGTGCGGAGTACTGTAGTTCCTGGGAAAAGAAGTTCAGAGAACAGGGGAAGTTAAAAAGGCAGAATCAGAACTGAAATGAAAATGTGGTGGAAGTTGGTCCCTAAAACATTTTCGCACCACCATTATAAAATCATAAATTGAATATTCAATGGACCTTCAATTGTTCCCCTAATGGACCGAACAATTATAGAATGGGCTTCCCAAAAGCTATAGAAACTTAATATGAGCATAAAGGCATCTCCTATTCGGGCTAAATATGAGAATACTGGTTCCAATTCATATATCTACTTATATAACGTAAAAGAGGGCCCGTTACTTATATTTATCTATCCGCGCCTGGGCTTGAAGCAAATTGAGAAAACACCAATGTTTCATTTGAGAACACTCTAATCATGTAACCGCAGTTTGTTACTGTCTATTCATTTTTAACATCGTCAATGGGCTAGGTAATACCACACAATCAAACTAAAGTTTGCTCTTGCTGTATATTTAAAAAAACATGGGTTGCACTCAGTTCCTCATCTATGGCCATGTTCAACATAGGCTAAAAACCATCAACTGGTTGCTCCTCCTTTCTTGACTACACTCTAAAACCGTTGTAACCCATAATCGGCTAGAAACCTTGGCTATTGATCCATGAACAACACTGGGAAAACTCAACACGCAAGCTACTCAATAGTGCACCTCCCGTACTTGCAAAAGCTGAACATCAAACAAAAGATAGGTGACATGGGAGAGAGATGTCCACCAAGGCAATCAACGTTACATACGACATCATAAAAAAACATAAACAATACCATTACACCACGTACAATAACCATACATAGGTCTTTTTGTTCCTTCTCGCAAGAACTTAACTATTTTCCTTGTACAAAAGAGGTTCATTAGATATACTAACACTTCCTAGCCTTGACTGTTCCTTTGCCCACAAAATGTAACCATCTCCCCTATTGTTCAAAGGACCCCATCCACAAACATAGAAGGATCAAAGTGAAATTTTCCATACATATATTCAAAATAGTAGCAATTGCAAAGGCAACACTTGTTCTGCCACCATGCAAAAATTCATGGGTCACCATTCAAATACATTACATAGGTCTTCTTGTTCCTTCTCGCCAGAACTTAACTATTTTCCTTGTACAAAAGAGGTTCATTAGATACACTAACACTTCCTAGCCCTGACTGTTCCTTTGCCCACAAAATGTAACCATCTCCTCTATCGTTCAAAGGACCCCATCTGCAAACATAGAAGGATCAAAGTGAAATTCTCCATACATATATATTAAAAACAGTAGCAATTGCAAAGGCAACACTTGTTCTGCCACCATGCAATAATTCATGGGTCACCACTCAAATACATTACAGGGAAGAAGGCCAACAAATAGTAATAGTGGATTCTAATCTTAATCAAGATGCAATAACTCGTGGATTCGAAACCCACCCAAAAAACTAGCAAAAATTATTTCCTCTCAAGGAATTTGAAAGCATGAAGAATCAGTCAACAGATGGAATTCATCGAGCGACGAACAGAGCAACATAACCCTAGGAAAAATGGTAAGTTTGATAAGCATCATAAGGCAAATACCTGACACGACATACAGTCACCTCGAGACCACACTTAACAATTAACAAACAATAATTTCCTACCATTTTATGGAGAAGAGATGAAAGCCTTCAAACCTTCTTTGATCAGTATTACAGGCACCTCGAGACTACACTTTCCTACACCATTCTCAACAACATGGTTCGCAAATCTGGTTTCCCTTTGTCGTGGACTTCGTCTTCCCGGGTCGTGGGTACTGTCCATCCCCGATCAACAAAAGAATAGGTGCAGCAGATCTGGCGATTCTAGGCCTTCTCCGCGTTCTCTCCACGTCAGACATGGATTCTCGGCCATTCCTAGGAGGTCGATTGCAACGACCTCTTGCAAGATCTCACCCCCTTCTTGCTCCAACCAATCTTTTGAAGGCGAGAAGAAAAAGAAAGAAACCAATTAATGATGAGATAAATAATTTCTCTCTCAGCAAGAGAAAGTGCATTAAGATTTAAAGTGATGAAAGAGTAACATAAATCTCAATCAGGAAAACCCAGAAAACATACTCTGGGGATCTGAGTATCTTCCAATTCCTCTCCGAGCCTCTCAAATTTGCCAGTTGATTGCTTCAAGCTCTGCTGGTTTCGAAAATGAGAAGAGAGCCAAAAGTAGAGAGAAAACAAAAGATGATCAATATATATAAACCATTACGACAGAAACAAAATTTCGAGAGACAGAGGAACAATCACATGAAATCAGTATAGAACCTGTGGTTCTGGGTGTTCTTCGAATCCTCCCTCCCTCTTCCAAATAGCTCCAAATCCACTCTAGGACACTCAAATCCCAACAGTCAAATCACAAACGAAATCAGGGAACTCCGATCGATCCACCGAAACAAACGAAATACAAAGCATCCATAGAAAGACTCACCACAGGAGATTCATAGCCGAAGGATGAATCAGCTCTGATGCAAAGCTCGGATCCTTCTGTTCCTGAGAGAGGCGATGAACAAACCTGAAAAAAGAGGATCAAAGAAACCCCATTTTTCTAGATAGAAAGAGAGAGAATGAACCCAGTCAATAAAAGGAAGAGAAAACGAATGCAAAGAAAGAGGAAGATATATTTCAAGAGAAGAGCGCTCCTCTGACCTCGATGAGAGAGAATATAGCACCAAGGGTAGATTAGGTTAACCACACATATTTTTTCTGCCAACCGTCAACCTCATTTGTTCTGCCTCCCTGACCAAGCTCCTATCCCCTGATATTTTTTTCCCTTTCTCTGCTTCCTGATTAGTCCCCTCAATTACCTTTCCAGTTTCAGAAAGTACGCCCAGTCTACATCAGCAAGACATACCTCTCTTCTCCCATACCTCCCTCCTCTCTCAGCCTCCGAAACCGGCACGACTCCCACCTCTCAAGCGGGCCACACCTCAAATACTCTGACCTTGCCCTAAGCCACTTGCAGAGCCACTGCAATAAACCCTTCCAGTCCCCCTATGGCCCACCATCTCTGAGTCTCCCACCCACGGATACGTCGATCGCCTGCAGAGGCCCCGACACAGCTGCCAAGGAAAATAGACCGGCCGCCTTAAATCAATCCAATCAAGCAACTGGCAGGCTCCAGCCACCGAGAGGGCCCTGGTGACCAACGCGTCCGCGGACCACAACCGATCCAGCAGACCAAAACAGCCCAACGACCAAGTTCCATCCCAACCGACCCGCCAAACACCCGTCCGATCCCAAAGAGCCCCCACCCAACGCCAGCCCACACAGCGCCAGCTTCCGGGTTATAACAGTACATCCCGGTCAGCATGAGCAGTAAAAGCAGTCTGCGTGTGCAGTACCAGGTCCTGCGGTGGGATTTATTTCTTTCAATATCAAGATTGTCATACCGATTTATATTTTTACACAGATTTAAAAATAGTATGTTCCAATAAGAATATAAGCAGTTTATACTGATTTTAACAAAATATTTGGAGAGATGGAAAACCATTAAAAGCATATAAATTTAGGAATATAAATATAACATATTTGTAGATAACCTGTCCAATATCTAGATTCATATTTAAAAAAAATATAAGATTTCAAATAAAATAACAATTCCTCATATTTGAATACAACATTTAACGCAAACATCAAAACGTTTATATTTGAACACAACAAATAACATAAACATTTATATGTTCATACTCGAATTCAACGAATTAGTAACATCAACGTTTAACTTTCAAATTCATGAAACAAGTCACAAATTGATCTTTTTTTAAATTAAATTCGCCAAAATGACGTTATGTTGTTTAGAAGCCAAATATCTGTCATCCCAACCATATCAGGAGTATTCCACCCGATTTTATGTCGCTGCTGGTTGAACCCGATTGTACCGGCTAACATGTGTTAATTGTTTAGCATAATCAGATCGATGCGCTGTTTTGGGAGTGCGTAGTAGTGGCAGAATGTAGTATAAATGACTCTACGTTTTGTGAGGAGGCACAACAGTGGTTTAATATAGATGCTTCAATCCCACTTAGATTTGCAGAGTAAGGTCAACCATGATGACATGAGAGAAAAAGCTAGTAAGGGTCAGAGAGAATATATCCCATTTCATGAAGAATGAAGCCAGAAGAGAGAATGGTCACAAATAGGGGTGGCTATACGGTCCGGTCCGGTTAAATTGGCCCAAATTGATCCGGTCCAGTCCGGTTTTTTTGAAAATATAAGGACCGAATATTGGATTGGATACAGTCCGGTCTTGATCCGGTCCGGTCCCAACTCGGTCTTGATTTTATATTGAGATTGTGGGAATTTGAGTGGCCTAAGGCCTAAAAGGGTGAGGAGTTGGTTAAGTTTTGTACTAAGTGCAAAGGTTTGTGACCATTTATGCAAATTACCCTTAAGTTTTCGGTGTTGAGCTCTCTTATCCGGTCTTTATCCGGTTTTTTACCTCAAATCCAAGCCCAAAGATTGGATTGGATTGTTTACTATCCGGTCCCGGTCAGATCTCGGTCCGGATTATACGGTCCGGTTTCCGGTTTTTCATCCGGTCCCGGTCCAAATAGCCAGCCCTAGTCACAAATGAAAGTTGATTTCTGGATTGGGACAGAATATTTATGGAAAGAAAAGCAAGCAAGAATCAATTTATCTATCTTTGTTCCCCCATCACAATTTCTAGCTATAAAAGGAGAGGCTCCCTCGTCAGCCAAATATGTGTAGTTGAGCAAGCTTAATTAGCTAGAAACATTGAGAAAAGAGGTCTAACAAGGAGAGAGGAGCTTCTTGTTTGGTAGCCAAGGATGACTTGCCTGCTCCTGAGCATGCATATGGATTTTTGGTCGATCTTGTTTAGATTCTCAGGCAGTCAGCTTGGCTAACTTGACAAGCTCCTCTCCTTCATGCTAGACTCGCGCTCCTTTTCTCCTAAAATTTGGGAAGCGATCTAGCCGACTCCGACGTGTCAATCATGCATCATTCACCAACATTAATATCCTCCCCAGGGTTATTTTCCATTAATTTCGTGGTTATGCAGGTTCCATATAATTACTATTTCATACTACTTGTGCATCTTTTGTGCTTCTTTTGTTCACCAATCAAGAAAAGAAAGGGAGGGCGGAGGGAAGGAGGCTTAGGAATACGAAGATGGAAGTGGCAGGATAGACGTCCAGTAGTAATAATGTAGTAGCTTCCAGTACTTTTTTTTTTAATGCAAATCAGATGAAGACGTGAATTGGGTTTGGAACCGGTGACCTTCCCTTCCATCACCGAAACCGTTGTTTGCATGTATGCTGTTGGAGAACTGTGTAAGGCACTCTCACGATTTCGTCAAGCCATGAGAAGCGACCAGGGACATTCTTTGTCGAACGACGACTACAACTGACGAAAAACCCTCACGATTGGGACTGCTACGCTGCTCCAGGTCGCCGTCGGCTATGTCGAATGGCGGAGGGGAGGAGGGTTTGTCGAATTGGGTGGGTTAATTTGAGGGAAATGGTTAATTTGAGGTGGGGCGATTATCCTGGTAATTGGAAGGGGTGGGGCTGGGCTAATTCAAGGTGAGGAGTTTCCTCTGTAGTAGTCGTTGGCGACTGTGAGGGAGGGAGAGAGAGAGAAAGAAAGAAAGAAGAGATGGAGGGAGGGAGAGAGAGAGAAAGCCGATGTGGCGCTTAGGTGGATGATAAATGATGCAATGTCATTAAGAGTCAAACATGTTTTGACTTCTGTTAGGTCAACTGTCAATTCTAACGGTCAACAAAAATTCCCGTAACACAAATGACGCAAATATCTAATAGGTTGGAATATTTTTGTATTTATTGAAGTTACGTATTATAAATGGCACTTTCGCTAAAGGTTGGTATTTCCAGTGGTATTAGCCCTATTTTTTTCTCATGCTAGAAACATATATTTTATGATACAAATAAATGATATAAAAATTAAAAATATATAAATATAAATAATTTAATTATGATTTCAATTAATGATGATGAAAGTTATCCGGCCAAGCTAGTTTATTTTGGAGAATTTTACTTAGTAAAATTATATAACTTTGACCTTGACTGGTCAAATTCCACCATATTTTTTGCAAAACTTACGAACTTTTGTTATCTATTAACTATGCTATGGTTATCAACTAGTTCATCTTACTCATAGATTTACGGAATGAACCTACAGTATAAACTATAAATAAGCAAACCCAAAGGTTCATAAGTGTGCCTTTTCGGAAATCGTTGTAGTGAAGCAAATGGATTGGTGGATCCAAATTATATTTAAACATAGGATTTTTTGTATATTGAAAAGTTTAGGTATTAAAATGTTATTATAAAAACATTCAATACCGAACATAATTCTTTAAAGGTATTTATCGCTTAAAAATTTAAATTTACGTATTAAAATGTAAATTATAAAAATAGGTGCTAAAGTTGTATTTTACTCAACCAAACAAGTGTAAACCATTTTCAAGAATTATACAAGAAAAAATTTACACTTTTCAAGAATTATACAAGAAAATCTCAAGTAAACTTATATCACATAAAGAATCCTTATGACAAGGAGAATTATACAAGAAATTAGCTCAAGTAATCCTTATCCGTCTTTGGTGGCCATTTTCATGACTAGATAATCCAATACATTTTGACCGCCAAATCATTGATTTTCGCGCACAATATTACAATGCACCCAGCGATTGGTACTGGTGAGTGGTGTCGCACACGTGATAGAAATGGCGACCAAACCATTCTGGTCGCTAATTAGCTTTTGCAACCGAGGTGTGGTTAAAGTACCTTAGACATTTATTATTCTCTTATCTATGAAAAATTATAACATCTTCATTTGTTTGGCCAACGTGACTTTTGCTAACTTTATCTAGTGAATGAACTCGAAATTCAAGGAAAATGGTAAAGAGTAGTAGTGCACTACAACAAAAGTGGTCTATCGTATCCCAAGGGTTTTTTTTTAATATGTAGTAAGGGTTTTAACCCCTGATACAAATTGTAGCAAGGGTTTTTACAACCCTTGCACGAACCCTCGCCAATGCTGCCCCTGCTAAGTGTAGCAAGGGTTTTGAGCAACCCACGGTGAAAGTCCCATCCAAGGGTTGTAGCAGGGGTTAAAACCCATGCTACATGTTTTAAGGGTTAAAACCCCTGATACACTGCAGTGTAAATTCCAACGATGAGATGTCCATACCGTGGGTTAGAACCCCTAGTAAATTCGTAATAAAACTAGCAAGGGTTAAAACCCTTGCTTAATTTGTGGCTAAATCAATTGCAACGAATTCAAAGCGGTCACTAAAGAGAGGCTAGCAAACATACTTAACAATCCAAAACTGTCGCTAAAGTGAATCATCAAGGCTGGTGGGCGGTGGCTATAACTTGGTTACAAATACTCTAATACTATAAACAAATTCAAAACCAAGCTTTTTGCTGGTCAATTTTCCATATATATATTTCTTGGCAGCCAAATATTCATACCACACAATATGCTATCAATATTCCATCATACATACCATAAATAAATATACTACGATTTAGGATCCAAGACAATATTAGAATAATATTCAAACATAATCAAAAGAAATTGTTTATTATAATATTGGAGAAGCTTGAGAACTCAACAATGGAGGACGGATATCTCCATGAGCTTGTCTCTAGCTCCTCAACTCTGGAGTAGTAAAGAAAATCAGAAAACCTGAAAGTTAGATTTCAGCATAGTTAAATAGATCAATCATCAATATTTGATAATAGGAAGATAGTGTTTTTCCTCACAAGCATTCCATGTTCTTGACCATTGGTAGTGAGACGTGCATGAACAACATTATGGGTTGACACTTACTCAATCCACCAAGCCACCACTACACTAGCAAACAAGCATTTGTTCATATTCTCTCTAGAAGTTCTAGTAATTTTGGCTCGGCTACTAATCCTTGTTTGTTTTTTCTCAAGTCTCAACTAGCACCTAGTTCGCCAAACCTAAAGAGGAACCAAACCCAATTCATCAAATAAAAAATTAAAAATCCATAAAGTAACAAAATTGTAAGCCAAAGTAGTGAATACAACGTTGGATAACATAGCATTTAACAAGAACAGATAATTTAATGGAGAACAGAGAGGTACACACATATCTACCTTTATCATCTGAAAGTTGGTTCCTTTTTCGTGTGGTTGAGAGAACCCAAGTCTCAGAGACACAGACGGATAGACTAGTCTTGAATGTCACCAATGGCTTGGATCCATTTAAAACAGGAGGCAACCTCAAACTTAGTCACTGGCCTGCACACACGTACACCAATTCCTAGCTGGTTAGAATCCATTACATACATAGTTTTATGATTGATAACTATCCCTTACAGAGAAAATAACCAGATGATTAAAGAAGAAGTTCGTCATGGTAAACAAAGAGTGAAGTTTCGGATTTAATCTCAAGTCTTTAATTGAGATTAAGTTCAGTACCAAAGCTTTATGCTGGAACCGGAGCTGCTGATAAAGTTTCCTATAACAAAATGAGAAAGACACACAACAAGGTCACACAAGATACATTATCTCTTATGGATAAAGTAAGATAGAGAAAAGGTTAGCAGCTTCTGTGAAGTACCCAGAACATCCACATAAAACCTTAAATAACAACAAAACATTTCTTAAACCCTTACTTTGTTCATGCCTTAACAAGTAGTTCAGAGTCGACAAGAAAAGTTTGACATGAATTGAGTAAAGGTTAAACTTAAGGCAAGGGGATTGTCAAAAATTCATATCAAACTGAACAAAAATTCCAAAAGGAAGAGGGATTCTGCTTTAATAAGCTTGCACAGTTTCTGAGAAAGAAAGGAGACGAGACGACTGATGTATTCTGGTTCATCATTCTAGATAGTCATTTATCTCATGCTTCAATGGTTTATGACACAAAATGAGTAATTACCTTTGCAGAGATATATATTATATGCACGTCTATATTACTATTAGAGGTAGCCATGACTATAGATCCTCTTATAAATATCAGTTTTGATCCCCTTCCTTTTCCTTTGCCCCCTGCTGCTCTTTCCTGCGTTCCCAAAATGAGAGCATCATGAGCACTTTAGCACATGTTATGCAGTATCAACATCACTAGCAAAAATCATACTTATAATGCATTCCTAAAGGTGGCCTATATATGCAAGAGTTTGTTTCTAACACTAACTTTTTCTTGTTAAAGAAATATACATATCCTTGGACAGTGCCAATTAATTAGTTCAAAAGGGCTAACATACAAGACATAGCTAGCTTAATTACTGACAATTGAGATGTAATTAAGTTTCTCTTCATAATAACCAGTGCCACAGCCGAGGTCAGGGGAGCTACATACCTTGGAACCATTCCATTCCCACAACAATATCTGTCATTTAATTAGTTGCTTGAGAATCATCTTGTCGAGATTAGGACACCAAAAATAACAATATTTGAATATGATTCATATTAATACCCAAACTTAACACTGTATATTTATTAATTTTAATTGTCTGCCAACGAATTGTAGAGAGTTTTAAATCGGAAGATCGGACCCGAATTTCCAACCCTACTACATACTATGCAATCTAGTATAATAATAATAATAATAAAAAAAAATTGATAATCTCCTTTTTTTTTATAAAGATATAATATAGATTCAATTTTTGTGATTTAGATACAACATAATGAATTCGAATATGCCAACTCCAAATTTAAAACTTGACCGACAAAGTGACGTCTAAGTGCCTCTTTCGCCGACAGAACACAACGACTTTGATAATTGACCTCTGTATTATTAATCCAGCACGTAGCAGACTTCCTCAAACGCGTCCAAATTGTCCCGGAGAAGCGGCACGAACGCATCGACGCTCCCGTCGCCGACGAACGACGGCAGCATAAACATCACCCCTTCCGCCGGGAAGAAGGACGGCATGAACACGCAAGGACGACACCCGCCGCCGAAATCCACATCGTAAAACGGGTACCTCAGCCAGCTGTGCACCTCCAAATCCGGGGACAGCACGGATTTCTCCGCGTCCGCCGTGGGCTAAGATCTGGTGACTAAGGGGGGTCCCCTTAGTCACATGGCTAAGTGAATCTCCACCCTTGCACCTCATTAAAATCCAATGGCCCATATTAATCCAATTAATGAAGGGCAATGTAGTAATTGCATGATTATTTAATTTATTAATTTAAATAATAAACAAAGAAAAATCATTTTAACCGCTGCTGCATTCGCGGTTCCCCCGGTCGGAAAAAAAAATCGCCGACCTTGATTTATTTTCCGGCGTCTCTTCTAGCCGGCGGCGACATTTGCTATTGCGGTTGCTGTCCATTTATATCAATGGTGCTGTCCATTTATTTTGGGCGGTCCATTTAAGGTGAGAGAGAGAGATTGCTGTCCATTTATTTTGGGCGGAAGACAATGTATCGTCCAGAGAGAGAGAGAGATATAGAGAGAGAGATTTTCTGGTCGGAAAATTTTTTCCGGCGAACATCGTCGCCGGAGAAGAATTTCCCGGCGACAGTGCTAATTTTGTGATGTTTGTTGACGTATTTTGTAATGTTTGTATGCTTTGTTATTTTGTAATATTTGTCGGGTTTTTTTGTAATGTTTGTAAACTTTGTTATTTTTGTGCATCATGTTTGTAAACTTTGTTATTTTTGTCAACCATGTTTGTAATGTTTTTTATGTCTAAAAAACAACCTGGTTGACTTTTGGATGGACCTCCTCTATATAGGGATGGAGCCTCCAAAGTCAACCCGGGTGTTTTTTCCCATTCGTATGGATTGTCGGTCTAGTTTGTCATTTTTGTCCACCATGTTCGTACTGTTTGTACGTCTAAAAAACACCCGGGTTGACTTTGGGAAGGAGCCCCTCTATATAGGGATGGAGCCTCCAAAGTCAACCCGGGTGTTTTTTTTTTTTTGTATGGTTTGTATTGTTTGTCAGTCTAGTTTGTATTGTTTGTACAGTTCATACGTTTGTAATGTTTGTATGTTTTGTCGCTCTAGTTTGTACTGTTCGTATGTTTGTACGGTTTGTATTGTTTGTACAGTTCATACGTTTGTAATGTTTGTATGTTTTGTCGCTCTAGTTTGTACTGTTCGTATGTTTGTATGGTTTGTACTGATTGTAAATCTAGTTTGTATACTTCGTATATTTTCCATAATACCCAAACTACCCCTGTCATTAATTAAATAGCCCTTCCCACTTTTTAACCATTAGATTGAAGTGTCCAGATCTAAGGGCTGGGAGGGGCTTAGTCAAGTGACTAAGCACCCCCCCTTAGTCACCAGATCCGCTCTCGTCCGCCGTGGGGACCAGCCCTTCCTCCTCAACATCCACGTGGCTGGCGAAGTCAACGAACGACTTGAAGTAGCCGTCATTGACCCTCGCCACGGCGTCGTTTATCAGCTGCGCCGCGTAGGACAGCGGTTCATTCAGGAGGTCCTCTACTCGAGATGTAGGAAAAGCCCATAACACCAAGTTCCCAAAGTACTCATCGGGAACCCTAGCATCGTTGATCATCATCCTAGTCCGACCATCCACCGAGATCCGGAACCTGGTCGAGTCGGACCCACCCAGGTTCCGAGCCCTGGTTACGGTCCTCCAGAGGTGAGCCGCCACGGATACGAACGTGCTGCACCGGCTCGTCGACGAAGAACACCTCGACTTCAACTTGGACAAGAAATCGAGGGTGAAATGAACCTTGTGGAAGACGATACCGTCAACCAGAGAGTCATATTGAAAAGAGGACACACCTAGTTTCAAATTCTTGTCGCTGCAACGAGTCTCGTACTCCGCTCCTCTGTGGTCGTGCTCGACCACGGGAGGCTCCCGTGGTGCGAAGATTGCACGATCACGGAAGGGCAAAGGACCGACGTCGAGTCCTCGAGTTGCCCTACCCCATGCAACGAGGAACTTGCTCGTGGAACGACCGTCGGCGACCAAATGATGAGCATTGAGCTGTGAACCCGACGACGAGGGAGCCACATCCGAACCTCGTGAGCTGGACCTGAACCAGCTCCTCGACGTCCTTCAGCGCCGGGTGGAGGCTCCACGCGGCCGGAGATGGGGTCAAGGGCATCACCTCATCGAGCCGAGCATCCGTGCTGGCTTCAACCAGCTTGACACCCTCGTCGTTGAGGAGGATGAGCTTAGGGTTTCCGTTTTTCTCGTCACGCCCTAGCCGTCCTGCGAACTCGCGGTACTCGGCTAGGGTTTTCTGGAGGCCGAGCTTGATGGTGGCGTTGGGCGGCGTCGGCGGGCGGAAGGCGTAGATGACGGCGATGTGGGTGTCGTAGGTGACCTTGTCGAAGACGGTGAGGGAGAGGACGTGGGTTGATGGAGGAGATGTGGGTTCGTAAGTTGGTTTGAGAATGGTGGTGGTCTCTACTTTCACTTTCACCTTCATCTTTCTTTCTTTTGGTTGGTTGGTTTGTTTTTCAGTACACTATATTATATAGCATAAGCATATACACGTACATTATGTTGAATGGTAATTTGCAATCAATCCTTACCATCACTAAACATCACACATAGTGGACCTCAATATTATCAATTATGGATTAATCATGCTTGTGAATTTATGATGAAACATAGATTGTTCTTTCTCTACTTCTAGCTCATGGAAATGTGAGCATTCAACCCTTTGGCCCATGCATTCATGGTCTTGTGTCTTCTTCAACGTGGATCATCCTTGGCTACTCATTTCCATGAGATGTGAGCATTCAACCCTTTGGCCCATGCATTCATGGTCTTGTGTCTTCTTCAACGTGGATCATCCTTGGCTACTCATTTCCATGAGATGTGAGCATTCAACCCTTTGGCCCATGCATTCATGGTCTTGTGTCTTCTTCAACGTGGATCATCCTTGGCTACTCATTTCCATGAGCTAGAAGTAGAGAAAGAACAATCCATGTTCCATCATAAATTCACAAGCATGATTAATCCATAATTGATAATATTGAGGTCCACCATGTTTGATGTTTAGTGATGGTAAGGATTGATTGCAAATTACCATTCAACACATTAATTGTAGAAAACCATCAATGCTATGACCATGACCATTACATGGCAGCCCATGCTGCTTCAACATTGCAGACGAATGAATTTGATTGAAGCAAACTTTGAGTATTGTTATTGATTGAATGCTTAAATTGTACAAGAGGGTTTCTACTCTACTTATACAGAAGGAAAGACATTAAACAATACAAGGATAGGCTGGAAAGTGATGGTGGTTCCTGGACCAGTATGGGTGCTGCCAGCTGCTGGCTGGAATGTTATGGAGCAACATGGGTTGTTGTTGTTGTCATGAAGCGGCATGGGCTGCCATATTGTTTGTGCCTGGATACCCCTGAACGCTTATCCTCCACTTTCCCGCTTAACTGTCACTTGGGCGCCTGGAACCTGCACCCACAAGCGCCTAAGGGCCTTGGCCGACCCGTACTCCGAAGCTCAAGTCAGTGCTCTTCTTCTAGAGAGATAAGTGTCAAGGAATAGTTTAGTGAGAGAAGCCAACCTCCGTAAATGCTATCGTCTGCCCCTATTTATACTCACCGAACCCGAGGTTGATCTCCGCCACGTCACCTCCCACATTCAATGCTCTGCGCCCCCAGACAGCTAACCGCCCTGTCAGACTCCTGACACCTGACTGGCATTCCACAGCTCTGCCAGGCTCCTGACACACGACAGGCGCCCGCAGGCCGTGGTCCACCATCCAGTTGATCGCCACCTGGCTTTTGATGCTCTATGTGACAGCTAACCGCCCTGTCAGACTCCTGACATCTGACAGGCGCCCCAGGCCGTGGTCCACCAGCCGGTTGGCCGCCACCTGGCTCTTGGTACTTTACTCTTTTGGGCTTTGTCCCCTAGCTCGCTGGGTAATACCCCCAACAATTGCCCCCCCAGTTAGGTGCTCGTGGCTTCGCCATCGAGCGCCTGACTGAACCTCTAGTGGTAACCCAGCCTTCTGCTTGGCTGCAGGGCGCTTGACACTCGGCGCCTGCATCGTGTTCTCACTTCTTTCTTGGTCCTACGAGGTGTGTTTGCTTCTCCTACTCTGCGGTCAGACGTCCCGCCTTTGGCAGTGTCCCTTATCGAATACTCTTCCAAGTGCTCCTGTGCCTCTTGCCTGCCGAGGCGCCTCTTATCAAACGGGACGCCTTTTTGACTAACCCTTCCTTTCGGGCGCTTCATGGTGTCGTTCTTGAAGAGTGTCTTTATCCCTTATGCCCCCCTCACCCACGCTATGCTTGTCGGGGAAATTTGGAGAAAAGAAAATTCGAAATTCGAAATTCGAAATTCGAAATTCGAAATTTGGGAGTTGAGAAATTTCCCCGAAAAGGAGAGGGTGGGGGAAGCTCAAAGGTCCGCCTGTGATTTGGTGGCTCGCGAAGAGACCAAAAGGTGGGGGGAGTGGAAGGGTTTTCTTCGGCATCACTGACACGTGTCATGCAACGGGTGAGCCTTCGTTTTTCTTTAAATACTCCTCCCCCCTTGTGATGCTGTCACTTTCTTCTATTTGTCCTCTCTCTAGAATCTTGCTCTGACTTCTCTCTAGCTTCCGCGCTGACTTCTGTCCTCTTTCTTCTCTGCTTTTCGCGTCCAACACTTCACTCTCGTCCAAAAGATGTCGTCTTCACACCAAGACAAGGCTTCTGCCCCCGGCGCCTCGGGCGCGGGCGCCCCCGGCGACGGTGGTGAAGCAAGGCGCCCAGTTCAACGTGGTAAGTGGTCTTTTCCTTTCGTCGATTTCGTTGAGTTTTTTCTTTTTTCTAGCCACTTAGGGTAGGGGCGTCACTTACCCCTTGTCCGCGTTGCGTCTGGGTCATTTGTTGGTTTAGAGCGGGCGTCTGCTTCCTCGTCAGCTGGGCCGTCAAGTTCGTCGGCGCCTGGCTTCTTGCCCGCCGACGGGTCATACAAGATCACGTCGTGGGAGAAGTGTTTCCCACCTGATCATTTGCCCACCGAGACGTCGCACTTGTCATTCGAGGTGGCTGGGCCCAACCACACGTCGACCATCACCCTGGACCAGGTTCATGAATTGGTGACTAGTCTCCAGCTTCCCAGAGACTGGTGGTATGCGCCTCCATCGCCCCAGTCCCGGGTGGGCGTCTGTGGCCCCAAGTGGATCGGGCTCTACCAGGAGTACTTTCGTTTCGGGCTTCAGTTTCCCCTGGACTCGATCATGGAGGGAATTTTGACGACATGCGCCTGTCCTCTCGGGCGCCTATCCCCTTCGGTCATCACGGTTGTCATCCTCTTCAAGTTGAGGTGCCGAGAGCACAACGTGGAGCCCACCTTCAACTTGTTCCGATACTTCTTCAAGATGGTGCCTCTGGACAACTGCTTATCCCTCCAGAAGCGCAAGAAGAAAAGCTGCCCCCATCACTTTGTCCAGAAATGCCCTAAGTTGAACCGAAGCTGGTTCAACGGGTTTTTCTTCGTGAAGGCCTATCAAGACTCCTTCTTTGCCAGTGGGGGCGCCTTTATGAGGAAATGGGGGTTAGGCCATGTCGATGACTTCAATAAGCCGGTGGTTTTGACGGCGTCTGAGAAAGCCGGCGCCTCCTTAATTTGCGAGGGGGAGCCTGTTGACTTACGCCCCGCAGAGAATCGTCCTCCAATTATTGAAGCTTATTATAACAATGGTGTGTAGGCGTCTAGGTGCTCTGCTTCCTTATCCCTTTATTTGCGTTATGTACTAACTTACTTTTGTCATATGCAGGGGCGGACTACTCGAGTATTGCCAAGCTCATGAAGAGTAGGCTGGCGGCTATGGCTGCGGAGGCGGCTGCTGCAGCATCTTCCCCACAAGAGGCGCCTGCTCGGCAAGAGGCGCCCTTTCAACCGGAGGCACCCGCCACCCAATCAGAGGCGCCGCCAGCCGGCCCCAAGAAGAGGAAAGGGAAGAAGAGGGCGGTGAAGGGTGGCACCGCTCGGGCGCACACGGCAAGCGTGGCGTCGTCCGCCCCGGAAGAAGGCGAGGGGACGCCTGATGCCGACCCCGCGGAGAAGGAGGTTAACTCCGCTGAAGAGGAGGAAGAAGAGGAGCCTTTGCTCCGAAAGGGGAAGAGGGCGGGCTCCCCCTTAACCTCGGCCAGCAAGAGGGCTGCCCGAGGAAAGAAGAAGGTGGGCGAAGAGGACGCCTGCGAAGAGGACGCCTTCGACGAGGTGGAAGTGGAGGCGGAGACTGTGGAGGACGCCCGCCTTCACTTGAATGAAGAGGGGCGCTACGTTGGCCCCGATGGGCGCCCCCCCATCTTCCGGCCACGGCGCACCGAGGTGGGACGGGTCAATATGAACTGTTCCCCCTTGGTCGCCGTTCCCCCTTGGGTGTGCCATGGGCTTGGCAATCGCGGCCGCCAAGTCCTGGCAAATACCGTCCGAGGTGACCAGTGATCACCATTTTGCTGAACTTGCCCAAGTGGGCGCTAAGGTATGCCTCTTTGTATTTGTATTTTCAGATCCTTCTTACTTATTATTTTGCACAACTTGCTGACCCTTGTCCCTTGGTTGCAGATCCTTCTTTTTGCGGAAAGAGGCGCCCGACGCCTCAATGAAACCAAACGGGAGGCGCTCGAAGCTTCCTCTTCGGCTGCTCAGCTGAAGTTGGACTTAGAGAATGCAACTGCACGCCGCGAGCAGTTTGCGAAGGAGTGTGAGGACGCCCAGATGACGGCCACCATGGAGTTGTCGCGTCTGCAAGGCGCCCTGGACGAGGAGCGCAATAAACTGGCCACCCTGCAGGCCGAGAAGGACGCGCTGGCGCAGGAATCTGGCGCCCAAGCCAGTGAAATTGACATCCTCAAGGAGGAGAAGAAGAGGCTGAAGGACGCCCACAAGGAGAGCGAGAAATCCTTGAAGAGGGCCCGGAAAGAAATTTCCGAACTTCGGCAGTCTTTGGACAACTTGATGGAGTCAGAGACTGGGAAGTCTATGTGCGCCAATGCCATTCTGACCGGCATTGAAATCCTGCGGGGGAAGTTGCAGAAGGACCACCCCGACCTTACTTGGGATCTCTCGGAGATGGCCGAGTATGTGATCGGTGGGATGGAGACGCCTCGCGGGACAAGTGGGGCGCCCGAGTCATCTGCTCCTCCCTCTCCTTCTCCAGTGGCGCCTAGTGCTGGGGATGCGAACTCAGGCGCTGACTAGATTAGCGGTCCTTGGGTGTTATCTTTTTCTTATCTTGTAATGCCTTTCATTATTATTATATATAAGAATTTATGTTTTCTTGTCCATCGGCTTTGCTTCCACTTTAACTTTCCCTTTATTACCAATCTTCGCGTTTCTTTGTGAGGGCGCAATGTTAGGGCGCTTTTGCAAAAGGTGGGCGCGAAACATGGCGCTTTGCTATACTTAGATTTGCCGGGCGCTATGTTGGGGCGCTTTTATTCAAAATTACTTAGA